ATGAATAAAAATTGATCAAGTCAATGCTTAATAACAATTATATAAATATTTCTAAATAGATTCTAAATAAAACAAATCTGCCTTAATTGATTCATGAAATTAAGTGAAATACTTCTGAAAGCTTGAGAAAGTCCAGATAAGTCCTAGAAAATCTACACCAAATATCTTATTGTATATAAAAATTTTTTCAATAACAATCTCTAGGAAGCAAAGCCAAAAATCAATGAGGATCATCAGTACCAATATTTTGATGTGTCCCTAAGGTGTCCTGAAATGGAGAATAAATATTAAAAAAAACTTACTAATTTATTACAATTAAAATTTTGTATTAAACTGTATATACGTTTTTGTTACCATTACCAGAAACTATATTTAATATAAATGATTAGAAGTATTTTTTTTTACAATTTTCTTACCAGCTCTCCTACTATGTCTACAATGAAAAGGACTTAACGACTACTCTGTGACGAAGTTGCTACGTTTTGTTTACGTATTTCATTACATGGAATATTGATGGATGGATAGATCGACGAACTGGGAAAACGCATTTTATGAGACTTCTACAAGTAGTAATAAAATATGTTATTTGAATTATTGATGACAATATCTTATATAATAGGAAATTAAATATGGATTCTTACTTACCAAGAAGTTTTTAAAAATATTATTAGTTATTCATTTTTGACTTACAATTAGGAAAACATAACATTTTTATTTAGGAATGTTGTTTATAACATGGTATAACATTATTATTCTATATAATTAACTGTATATAGCCGATTGGCGTCTAATAAATAAATAAATAATGAATTAAGAGCATAGTTCATTATTTTCTATAATCACGTCAAAATATTTTGGATAATTTGTAGATCATGCCATTTAAATTTGATGCTTTTTTTGGGAAAGTTGTATAAAATAAATTATTTTCTAGTTTTTACTACAAGTGGTAGTAAAACCAAGACCAAATTACTTACTCTGGTCTAAACTGGGTAATAAATAAAATTTTCAGAAGTGTATCAAAGTACACTGGTAGTAATTTTCTATTGAAAATTACATCCAACCCTGTTTCTTCTTCCTAAACAACAATATTTTCTACTACGTCAAAGAAAATCGTTACAAAATAAAAGAAAATCACCTCGATAATTTGTTTTCAATTATTTGTTTCTCAATTTGTGGTTTTACGATGTCCGACACGCTATTTTTCTTGATCGCCCATGATGGGATATTTTTAGAAAAGACTTATAATTCCTAATGTCATTTTTTTTTTGTATTTGCTGTAATTTAGATCACGAATCGTAGAATAATGCGATTGATTGATATCTTAATATTTATTATTACATTTATCAAAATTATATAGGCAAAGGTAAATGTCTTATATTTTTAAGCAGACTTGTACCTTAAAAAACAATTTTATTAGATTCAAAATGTATAATTCAAAATTATTATAATCAAAATGTTTTTTCTAAAAAAACACAAAATACGTGTAAAAAATTAATGCAAACTTTTAAGCAATTTTATCAATTTTTAAATTACATACAATAAACCATATGTATTTGAACAAAATGAAACAAAAAAATGCAAAATAGGAAAACATGCAAAAAAAGTTTTCCTTATGCAAGAGCAGATATTTTCAAAGTTTAAACGTAAATTTATTTCAGAATAAATTATTATTTAATAAGCTAATATTATAAATAATTCGATATATTTTTAGATTATATAATATAATATAATTGCGCTTGAAATTTTGTAACAAAATATTGTAAAATATAAAAAGGAATATCCAACGTCACATTCAGACTTTGAAGAAAAATTTTAAAGTGTAATGATATTTTTATTATTTTAGAGTAATTTCTTCATCTACTTTCTAAGATCAAGAAGTATATACAAAAAGTATATAAGAAGTATATTGCATAAATTAGAAATGTGTACCTATTATAATACATAATAAAATTCCAAATAAAATTAATTATAAAAAAAATAAAATTTAACTAGTAGTGTGTGGCATCGTGCGTTAAAGCAAATTGCTGGAACTTCCTGTACCTAAATAAACAAAACTTAATCAATCGGATTTAAAATGAAGGACATTGTCTAATAAATATTTATAGGAATTATTTAAACTGAATTGCAAAGTTGAAAATATTTGTTTAAAGCATATTAAAACTAAAGTCAAAATTAAAATTAAAATCAGAATTATTTTCTATATACAAAAAATATATTTTAAAAAAAAAAAATTGAAACAATTTTTTTCCCAAAAGCAATTATTTTGTTAAAGCAAGCAGAAAGTTTTTTCAATCATTCAAATCGGACCTTAGTTCTCTCAAAAACTGCTATTTTTTGCACATTTAGCTCTGTATCTCCAAAACCGCTGGACCTGCCTTTGCCAAAAACTAATCACCCTTCTCCCTGTCATTA